GGATAGGTAAAATAATAGTAAATGCTTCTTCCAAACCTATGCAATCCTCAGTATCCTCTGTTTTGAATGTGTACATTATCACTTTGAACTTCTGTATCAGCTATTTAGTATTTGGTATTAAATTATGGTTACATATTATTCATATTCTGTTTCTCCCGACTGGATTATTAGCTCTTTGAGAACAGAGACATTTGTGTCTTCAGGGCCAGCATACAAAGCCTTGCACATAGTAAACACATAGGGTTTGTTGTTTGTTTATTTTAAGGATTTGAGATTTCCTTCACTTAAAAATTTGTCTACTGGTTTTAAAAAATAATTATAATAAGATATTTCACCTACTTTTTTATATGTTTGGAATTTTTTATTGTAACAAATGGAAAGCAAAGTAGGTTGTAAAAAAATAAGCACTATGGTATAAAGTACAAAATAAAAATCCTCTGCTATATCATAGAGACTGCATAGTTTTTAATTGATACTGCAAAAATTGCCTGTGTCTCTGCAATTTTCCACTTTCAATGGCAATATTTGTTCCCTGATTTCTCACCAGTATTTGATACTATCAGACCTTTTAACTTTTCTAAACCTGAGTATTGAAAAATTATATCTAGATGTAATTTTCCTGATTACTGGTAATAGTGGACATTATTTCATATGTTTATTGGCCATTTACCTTCCTTTTCTCTGTTCATATCCTTTGTCATTTTTTTTGAGTTGTTTGTCTTATTGATTACAGGAACACTTTATACAGTCTAGATATTAATCCTGTGTTACATATATTTTACCTTTTTTCAGCTTGCCTTTTTCATTCAACAATAATGTATGGTGGCCCTTCTTCTATTTCAGGGCAATCAGTATTTTTGCTGATGCTATGTACCATGAAGTAGCCCAAGATGGTGTTCTGAAATATCTTTTAGAACTTTTTGGCATGATCTATCAGCATACTGGGAAGAAGAGTCATCACTGTTTACTGACTTGGCCCAATAGACTCTTTTTGTTTTTTATATTTTTAAAATATTTTATAAAATAAAGATAAAAAGATAGTATAAAAATCACTTCATTTGAAATTTTAATAATAATTTAGATGTAGCAACCCCAAGTCTTTATTTCGTGTTCTTCTGGTTTTGAAATGGACACCTCTGAGTGCAGCTAACTGCTCGTCAGCTGTTATGCATGAACCTGGAATGTACCCATCTTGAAAATACCGATTCCTTACTTCAGATCTATCTCTAATAGGTTCTAGCTTATTACTGCTAGTTGTTCTTGCACTTATGTCATCAAAGTGCAAAATTTGAAGAATTTTTTGACAGCTTTAATGATTTATAATTTTGTCAAAGAGAGGACAGCTATCTTTTTTGCTCTGTAATTTGAACGTTTTTATTTTTAGTTTTATAAACACCAATTAAAGTGATCAATCCATTGAATTTTTTTTCTTTGTCATCTATATCCTTCCAGTCACTTTTGTATATGGAACCTGTCTTTAGCATTTGTCCGCTTATGAACTGTATCTAATAAATTTTGACACACAGACGTAAAAGGTGAAAGAATATGGTTATATTCCCTTTTAGCATAAGAGGATGGTATAGGTTCTTGTTGCAAAATATTGCATGATGAATTCTTTCCTGTTAAAGGACTGACTGAATGAGAATGCCTTATTTCCTTTTTGTTCTTAGAAACATATTGTTCACTCATCAGTTCTTGAGTTTGAGGAAATTCATCTAATATATTATCATCTGAAGACACACAGTCTGAAATTTTACTTAAATGATCAATTTTATCATCATCATTAGAGTCTCAAGTTCTGCTATTTGTCTCTTTGCATTCATCTATTTTGTCCAATAATTGTGAACTGTCTTTCAATTTTCTTCTCATTGCCATTATGGACAGAAAATGTAAAAATTCTGAATTCTCAACTGTGTTCAATGAAAGCTAAAAGCAGCCTATGAAGATAGTCTCCAGTCTTTTATACCTTATTTAAAGATGATGTAATACTTTGGGAAATGCTGTAAGAAAATCGAAGGATAATATAATAGTGATTATTTCACTTTTGTATTATTTTTTGGCAATTTCATCATTTTCCTTTTTCTTTCCCTTATTATTCTTTTTCTGTATTATTTTAGTCTTTTTTTATACAAAAAAGTATAATTGTAAATAATCCAAGATACAGAAAAAAAATAAGACCACTGAGAACCTATATATAGCTTAAATTTATAAAAGATTACAATGGATCTATGTAGTAATTACAAGATAGAATGAGTTTTATTCTATTTTTTAAAATAAACATAATTTCTCTTTGTTCTTTAGACTCAAAAAGAATAAAATTATGAAATAACAACCCTTCCAAAAAGTAAGGAATTGTTCCAAAAAGAAAGTTAAAAACTTAATTTGGGCCCAGTTGGCCTAATGTTATACCAAGGACTGAGCTGATTGAGAGTATATGCTGACTATATTAATGGAGCTCTATTGCAGAGTCAACTGGAATGGAAATGACCATTAGTTTTAGCATTTCTTTACCACATTTAAGCTTGCAGGAGTTTGCTCTGGCTTACAGCTTTCTGTTCTGACCTTTCCCTTATCTGAACAGCATGGACAGAAAGAATACATTAACTTCTTTTTAATGGAGGCGAGTGCTTCTTCCTCCTGTTTCTCTTGTTTGCGAGAACCCTGCTTTATCTTGTGTGTCTCTTTTCTAAGCCTCTTTTCTCTATCAAAGCCCTTGAGCTGTTAGCTTTTTAAGTGAAGTGCATCTCTGTTGAGCACAGAGCGCTGCCAGTGTCTCAATTGGGAAGGATCTCTAAGAGGTGTGTATGCCAAGCACGATATCATTGTGTGCAGGCATTGCAGGAGTCTGCCAAACCCAGGGGTAGGCTGCCAGTACAAATGCCACGTTGATATGACATTTACAAGTTTAGAATCTGGAAAGGGACTAGCAATGAACACCCTTCAGCTACCTCATTTAGGGTGGCAGTAACTAGGCCAACTTTTGATTTTTAGATTCAGAAATCACAGTCAAGCAGTAATATTTGATATAGAATTTGAAACCACCACTACCACTTTTTTAAGGAAGTGATGAAGCCTGTTAGCCTGTTCCTGGGATGCAGCATAACCATAATAGTTGAGTACAGAATCTAGACGCAAATCTGGATTTAAATGAGGGCTCTGTCACCTACTGCGTGACCCTGAGCAATTTACTTAATCGATGTAAGCCTCAGTTTCCCATCTATAAAATAGAGATAATAACATCACTTTCCTCCTGGGGTTATTAGATGAATTGAATAATATCTTTAAAAGTGTAAGCACTTTTCCCAGTGCTTGTCCAATGCTAAGTGTTCGATAAATGTGAAGTATTTTTCATATTCTTCAGAAACTCATAATAAGAAATCAGGTTTCCAGCTGTTCCTATATACTTTTTTAAATTTTATTTTATTAGTTTCAAGTATAGAGTACATTGGTTAGACATTTATATAGTTTATAAAACAATCCCCCTAATTGCTTTTTCTCCCCCCCGGCTCTCCACCTAGCCATTACATTAATGCTAACTGCATTCCCTGTCCCCATCCCCGTGACCATCTATCAACTACTAATTCGTACTTCTTTAACCCTTCACCCCATTCTCCCAGCCCTCCCCAAGCTCCCTCCCCTCTCTCCATCACCAAATTGTCTTCTGTATTTGTGAGTCTGTTTTTGTTTAGTTTGTTCTTTTTGTTCCTTAGATCCCACATATAAGTAAAATCATATGGTATTGATCTTTGTCTGGCTTATTTCACTCAGCATAATAACTTCTAGGTCCATCCATGTTGTTGGGAAAAGTAGGATTTCATTTTTTTCATGGCCGAGTAATATTCCATTATATATATATATGAACCATAACTTCTTTATCCAGTCTGTTGGTGGGCTTTTAGGTTGTTTCCATATCCTGGCTGTTGTAAATTGTGCTGCCATAAATATTGGGGT